TTCCAGACAGAAGCTGATCTTGTGGCATTAGTCGTTGTTTAATCTGAATTTGAAAAAGAAACCTAGGAGGCATGGCTGGTTAATTAACATTCTTATGAGACCCGCCCTGTTTGTGTGTGTCAAAGAATAATCTTTGAGATCATTACCAGTCCGGAGACTGTCAGGAAATCTGTGAAAGACTTTGAAATGGGCAAAAACCCTGGATATCCTGGCCAGCTCACCCTTTTCTTGTCTTTGAGCCATTTTACGCCTCTGTGAGCTGCAGAACACGGGTGCTGATGCAGGTGATTTGTCCGTAGAAATACAGGTGCTCTGCCGTGGGTGCTTGTGTGCTGAGTGGTTTTAACATCTTTGTTTCCCCCATTAATCAGTTACATAAAATCTTTAGTAAGTGTTCATTTCAGAAGGAAAAAAAGGAAATCCACCTTCTCCAAACCCACTGTCTTTCTGAGGAAAACGCCGGGGCCCAGCCATCCTGCAGAGGCACTTTCTCCTGTGCATCCATCCCGTCTGGGTCAGCATCCGTGTTCTGCTCTCATTCTATATCCTTACATATAGAGGGAGAGCTATAAAGACATATATGCACAGGTGACCTTCGAACAACAAAGGTTTGAACTGCATGGGCCCCCCTTCTGTGGGGATGTTTTCCACTAGTAAATGCCCCACGGGCTGTTGTTGGTTGAATTGGAGAATGCAGATCGCGGATACAACTATATTCTACGCCCACTGACCCCCGCGTTGTTCAAGGGTCACTTATGTAAAGGCATTAAAACATTTTGTGGAAGTATCTGTTGAGGCGGGAAATGAGCACAGTGGATCAGGGCCGCGGGGACAGTGGGGAGGGCGGGTCCAGGCGGAAGGCAGATTTTATGTGAGTTACCCCTTGATGGCGGCCTCCCCGGTTTTCGGAAGCTCGTTCCTGAGAGGGCGTGGTGGAGGCCGAGGCTGTGACTGTGGACGTGGGTTGGCTTCTGCGGCCTTTCTCCCAGGGGCCTGCTCTGTGGCACATTGTCCTGCAGCTCTGCCTCCTGCCCTAGAGGCCCGTGGAGGCCCTCGGGCCAGCGTCCTGCTGCTTCCTGTCTGTCCCTCCACGTTCATCTGTGTCCTTTGCAGCCTGCCCGGCCCCAGGGTGGGTTCATCCGCTCCCGGTGGGTGGCCTGGGTCCTGGGGATGCAGGCCCCCAAGGCCCCCGCCCGCGCTCCCGCGGTGGTGGTGGGGGAAGCCTTGCCCTTTCTCCCTGGAGAGGAGCTGGTTGTTCTCTTTTTACCCCCTGTGTATTTAGGAACCGTATGGAAGTTCCAAATTTGACAGTTAACTGCCCTACAAGGGGCCCTGCACCCACCCTGTGTGTGTCCTCTTCCAGGCTGCCGACCCGCACCCCTGTGAGCTGGAGCCCACGACGCTGCCTGGGCCATGGACTCGAAGGTCAGATGGGCGGTGGTCCCGGGGGTGTGGGCGGCGGAGCCTCGGATCCCAGCTCTCGGGAGCACAGGGCGGAAAACCCCCTTGTCCCCGCACCGCTTCCGCCTGCTCCTGTGCAGGACAGGCTCAGAGCTATAGCGTCGCCGAGGTCGCGTGGGCCAGTCCCCTGCCTCAGCAGGATGGGGCTTAAATGGCGCCTTGTGCTTTAAGCGAGTTTAAAAGAGAAAGTCGCGCCTGGCCCAGCAGAAGCTCTTCTTCACCTCCTTCCTGTCTTTGCCAGGCAGTGTGGCATCTTCGGGTGCCCAGCCCGGGGCCCTCCGTGTCCCCGCCAGCCCCATGGGGGCGGCCGCGGGCCTGAGGACTTACTAGGTGGTTCACGAGCCTGGCCCGGTTTCTGCATCTCTGAGCAGACAGCGCCTGGGGGCTGGGTGTGCGCTTCTCAAACAACCCTCTGCAGGCCTGGGAGCCTGTGGTTCCCAGCTTAGCAGCTCAGGAGAAACGTCAGCTACTTGAGCAGAAGAGGTTTCGGACGCTGCCCAGGTGCCGCTTCTCCTGACGACTTCAGTGGGAAAGGGCAGACACACTCCCAGGGCTTTGCTTTCCCCTTTCTTTCCTTCAAGCTGAGAAAACCAAGACACAGGCGTGCCCCACAGTCAGGTTCATGGTGAGACATCCAGCAGCTTCCTCTTCCCCCGTCAGAAATTTCACCCTGCTATAGATTTTCTTTTTTCCCTTTGATTTTGTTTCCAGGTTTTTTTTAAAATTACAGTAAAATTTACCATTTTAACCTTTTATTGATTGATGATTGGCTGTGCTGGGTCTTCGTTGTGGTGCATGGGCTTCTCATTGCAGTGCGCGGGCTTCTCTTGTTGTGGCGCATGGGCTCTAGGCACGCGGGCTTCAGTAGCTGAAGCACGCGGGCTCAGCAGTTGTGGCTCGTGGGCTCTAGAGCGCAGGCTCAGTAGTTGTGGCCCACGGGCTTAGCTGCTCCACGGCATTTGGGATATTCCCAGACCAGGGCTTGAACCCGTGTCCCCTGCATCGGCAGGCGGATTCTTAACCACCGCGCCACCAAGGAAGTCCCCATTTTAACCTTTTTTAAGTGTCCGGCACAGTGGCATTAAGAGCACTCGTGTCGCTCTGCCACCGCCGCCCCCTTTTCTCTGTGCATTTGATGCTTCAGGGAGATGAGAGGGATGGAGCAGTGCGTGTCCTCTTGTGTCTGCTGATATCACTGAGCATGATGGCTCGGTTTGGTTTTTGTCTTTTTTTTACTGTTTGTATGGCGCTGTTCATCTATACTGTAGCATTCTTTGATTTTTTTTTGATATGTAGAAAATGAGATTGATTTTTTTTTGTTTGTTTTGTTATTACTGTTTGTTTGGTGCTGTTTTCTCCAGGTTTGGACACCAGGATTAGTCTAGTTTATCACACACATTGGACAGCTTTCCATCGTTTTCTCTGCACAGGAACTGATTTTATAGCACAAGTTATTTTTGCCTCCTATAGATGAAATCTGTATTATGTCTGGCAAGATTTCCTAAGTCTTGATCATTTCTCTTGACATACTTTTTCCAGTGACCTAAAAGGATAAACAACTATCACATCTTCCCCCTTCTGAGACATCCATTTCAGCTTGTGTCACTCGTCCGTCCTTGGCTTGTCACCAGCCCTGCTTGTTCTTGGTGTTAAATGCTGTTGGTCTTCTGGACCGGCTGCCTGTGTGGGAGTCCAGGCCAGCCTGTTCTTGACATGCTCAGAACGGAGTCTGTCCACACGCTTCCCAGCCGGATGGCACTAAACACTTGGCTCCAGGGCCTGAGCCCTCTAACACCGGATGCTCTCCTTCTCGCCCGGCCACTTCTGTTCTTCGTGTTTCAGGGGGAAAGGCAGAGGTCACTGCATCTGGGTTTGATACCTGACCTGGCGTAGCTGGTGGCAACCGCTGCTGCACACCCAGACTTTGGACCCTGTTTACTAACCTCTTGAAAAAGACGGTCTGGTTTGGTTCCCTGGGGCTGCAGCAGGGAAACCCCACCGGCTGGGTATTTTCCTGAAGTGTCTGGAGGCCACAAGTCTGCTATCAGGGTGTTGCAGGGTTGGTTCCTCTGGAGGCTCTGAGGAGTCTGCTCTGGCCTCTCCAGCTCCAGTCTCCGTCTGCACTGGCATCCCTGTGTGTGTCTGTAAGCCTGCCCCTTTCTCTTGTAAAGACATGGGTCATGGGATTAGGGCCCAGATCCAGGATGACCTGGCCTTAACGTGACATCTGCAAAGACCCCATTTCCAAATAAGGTCCTGCTCTCAGGTCCTGGCGGCCAGCACCTGGGCCTGTCTCTGGGGGACACGGTTCAACCGCAGCCCTGCCTCAGTCCCTCTTCTCTCCTGACCAGGACGTCTCCTGAGGTAGAGACGAAGCACATTCTTCCGAGTTTCTCAGCTGCCTTGTGCCACTGGCCTCACTGTAAAGATTCAGTAGAGTAGAGCTTTTACATACATTTTCCCCCTTTTAGGAGTAATTCTGGAGAAGTAAAGGCTGAATAGCAATACATAAGCACCTTATTTTATGCATTTCGTTGAAAACAATTTGTCCTCTAAAAACTGTCCTCTCAAAGTTTTCTGATTTTCCTAATCAATATTTTTCTAGTATTTTCTAATGAAAAACATTATGGACTTAGAAGTAAATTTTACCTGCACCTTCATTTTCTCCCCGTGACTTCTCCCAGCCCAGGCCGTGTGTTTTGTGTGTATTGATCTGGGTGGTCTCGGCATCCTAGCCTCTCACGATGCCCTCTCATCCCAGGTCTGGGGGTGACCTGAGCACCCCTGGTCCTGCTCTGCACTTGCCTTCTTGTTGCCACGTGCAGCGGCCCTCCTGGTTCCCCTGTGCTGCTCGTGGGCTTGGCCAGGGGTTTATCTACCTGAGGTCAGCCAGGCCTGCCCAGAGGCAGGTGTTGCCTGTGGTCACTACTGCCCAGGCTGTATTGAAAATCTGCTTTTGCACAACACCCTCCTGGGCCCACAAAGGACGTGATGGAAGAGGATGAGCTTCTAACTGCTGGATGCACTCCCAGTGAGCGTGGGCTCTGGCTGGTAAAAGATACGCAGGGCCCGGCACAGGCGTGCAGAGCCAGGATGGCACCTAGACACATACGTGCCTGACCGCCCTCCCCGGGGCGCACCAGCTGGCCGCCGGCAGATGGGTCACCTTCTGCAGGATTGGAGCTTTTCAGCATCTGTACATGGCCCTGCCGACTGGCCGCTGCCCACTGGCAGGGAGTCCAGGCCCCGGGCCAGGGAGGCCATCGTGGGCCCGGCTGCCCGGCCTGGGGCCGTGTTCCCACAGGACTCTCCTCTCAGGTCAGCAATGGCGCCAGCCCCCAGGATGAGCGCACCACAGGCCTGCTGGTGTTCAGCTTCCTCCAGAGCTGCCCGCACTCCCGTTGCCGCCAGGAGCTGGAGATGCTGGGCCACAAGCTGCCCGTGCGCGCGGCCCACGACGACGAGCTGCAGACGGATGGCAACTGGTGCAGCCACTTCCGTGTTGAGGGGGCGACAGAGACAGGTAGGCGCCGGGCCAGCCTCCGCGGCCCAGATGTGGGCTGTGGGGCCTTCGGGCTCAGGTCCACCCTGTGTCCAGCGGGGCAGGCCTCGCCGAGTCCAGTCAGTTGAAACCCACTCGGGCTCCTGAGGATTGTTTGCATTTGTGCAGCACCCATGCTTTACTCCTGTGTATGTTATGGCCATGACGATCTGCACGGTCACCAGGGCAGCGGGGACCTGGGGCTCTTTTCTTGGGCCGGGCCATCCTCCGTGTGTGGCAGATTCCAGGTGTGCGTCCTGTCCTCCCGGCCTCAGCTTTGGCCACCAGTGCTGCCTCCACGGAGGCCACTGGGAGCTGACGGCTGGGAGCCCCTCTGGAGGTGGGCCAGGCACAGCATATCCTGGAGCTCCCTGAGGAATTCTGTTGGGTTCCTGAACCAGCCTGTGCTTTGGGGGCAGGCTCCCATGTGTTCCCGACCCTCCCGGGAGGCCTGGGCTGGAGTCTGCCGCCTGGTGGTGGGGGTCACTGACCTCTTGAGGCTGATGTGGCCTCTGGGCCGCCAGCTGTCTCAATTCAGGTAGCCAGTGGCACACCAGGGGGTCCCCACCAGCCAGGGTTGCCTTAGGCCCCCTTTGGGAAGGGGCAGGAGTAGCTCTGCTCTCAGGTCTGCTGCCCTGGTGGCCCCCGTCTGCACCAAGCCCCCCTCAGACCGTGGAGCCTCACTGGACGCACAGGGCAAGGTGGGCGCTCGGGTAGGAAGCGGTGTGTGGTCAGGAGCCTGAGGAAGTGTGGAAACAACGCTCAGAACGGAGGCCTGGCCGCCACTTGTCGGTGGATTTGTTCGCTCGGCTGGACGGGAGGAGGTGGGAGAGCGGGGCCGTCGGGGGCTGCGTGGGAGGCGGGTCAGGACAAGCGCACGGGCTGGGCCGCGAAGGGGACCACGGGGGTGGAGCGTGGCCGGGCTGTTGACCCAGGTCTCGGAGGTCTCGGCAGGCGAGTGGTGACCTGTCCCCGAGCAGAGATGGGCAGGTAGTGGGAGGTTTTGGGGTGAGGAGGGCTCATGTTGGGGTCACACAGACACGTCTCAGTGAGGTCAGGGCTGCAACTCCACGGGCGCAGGGCTGTGCAGGCACTGCCGGCAGATTCCACCAACCACAGGTTGGAAATACTTGGGGAAAAAAGTTCCAGAAAGTTCCCCAGAGCAAAACTTGAATTTGCTGTGCGATGGCGTTGTATGAGGTGGAGGTGATCACGTGAGGGACGCCGGCCCCTGGAGTTTGGTGCCCGCAGGGGTCCTGGGCCGGTGCCCACCCAGACCCCGAGGGACGAGTGAGCAGGCAGCTAGGCGAGGTTGTTGGTCGGGGTCCAGACCACAAGGCGTGGCACTTGGACCCTCTGGTTTCCCAGCACGTGTAGGCGTTACGTGTACACTACACGGAGGTGTGTTCAGTGTGCAATGGCTCTGTCTTAACAGCGTTCGTGCCTTAATTAAAAGGACTTCTTCACTGCTACATGCTAACCATCCTCTGAGCCTGCAGTGTGTTGAAGCAGCGACGTCACTGGTCACCATACAAATATAATAATGAAAAAGTTTGAAATATTGCGAGAATTACCAAAATGTGACACAGAGACACAGAGTGAGCAAATACTGTTGGAAAAACAATGCCAACAACTCTCTCAATGCGGGGCTGGCTGCCACATGCCTTCCACCTGTGTGATGGGCGGAGAGGGGCTGGAGGTGGGGCGAGTACACTTTCTGTGCTGTGGGGAGAAGCAGCAAGGGGGCTGGTCACTCAGTGCCCTGGGTCACCAGCTGCGTACCTGGGAGTCAGCCCACAGCTGGGAACCCCAGAGCCCATGGAAGCTTCTGTTCTGGGGGAGGGGCTCAGATGGTGTCCAGGAAGGAAGAGCGTGGCATCTGGGGAGGGGTGGGGGGGGGGGGGGGAGGAGGCAGAGTCCAGGACGAGAGGCTGCGGAGCCTCTGTCCTGACCGCTTCCTCTGCCGACAGCCGTTGGATGCTGGGCTTCGAGCCCAGGTTGTGGCTACCCCAGCATCACAGGTCCTTCTCCCGCCCGGCCCCTGCGCCTGGTCCCGTGTTCACACCGTCCTCACTGGGCTGTGGATGCAGGACCCACCCCTTTCCTGGAGCAGGAGCGGGGTGTGAGCGGGGCATCATCTGACCCCCCACCCCCCACCCCTTTCTGCATGTTAGACTCTGAGACTCAGGAGGAAGTGGTCCGGGACATCGCCAGGCAGCTCGCCCAGATTGGGGACAGGATGGAGTGCAGCATCTGTCCGGGGCTGGTGGCTGGCCTGGCCGCGCAGTTCGGTAACACGAGCCTGTCGGAGGAGGTGAGTGAGAAAACCCACGGGGCTTGTCCTCTGCCTCCTGGCAGACAGACCAGCGTCCAGGGAGGTGGCTCAGCTCGTGACTGCTGGAGAGAGAGTCAGCCTGGTGAACTGTCTCTCGGAAAAGTCACTTGACAGCTGAAAAACCTGAATCTGAAGTCAGACTCGAGTTTGGGGACAGAGCCCCCCAAAGATTAACGAGACGGATGTGACTCTTCCTGAAACAACATGTTCCACTCCTCTGACCGCTGAGGTGGCGGGGCCCCGTGACCTAGAAACGCCCTCGGGCTGGGCCCGGTGGGTCCAGCCTCCTGCCTCTGGGAAGGCCCGTCTGTCAGGGAGCCTCCCTCTGAGCTTCGCTGGCCGGCATGGATCAGACACAGGCTGATCGTGCCGTTCTTGCTGCCACGTGTTGGCGTGTGGAAGGTCCATTCCGGTCTGGTGGTGCATGAGGCCTCTCCTGGCAGGAGGTCCCCATCCCCCTCCCCGCTCCCATGTACCAGGCTGGACCCCTGGGCGGTGACTGACCTTGATCTCAGGTGCCTCCAAGCAGGAGACGAGGACCCACCGCGGGGGGGGGGGGGGGGGGTGCCTCGCCTGCCCCTGGCTTTGCCTCCTCAGCTGTTTACAGCACTTCCCTCCTCCCCGCGGGAGGCCTGGTAACCACGCCTCTGCTTCCACCTGTGCAGGACAGGAGGCGGTGCCTGGCGGCCGCGCTGCAACAGCTCACACAGCTCTACCCTGCGGATGTGGACCGCGAGAAGACCCTGCTCCTGCTGACCCTGCTCGTGGCCAAAAAGGTGGCTGACCACTCGCCAGCTGTGCTCCAAGATGTCTTTCACACCACAGTGACCTTCATCAACCAGAACCTTCTCGCCTACGTGAGGAACTTAGTCCAAAACGTAAGAGCCAGTGGTGGCAGCTCCTGGGCTCTTAACCCCCCTTGGTGTCCGCCTCTCCCCACCCCGGCCCCCTCTGAGCTCTGGGACCCTCGCTGCAGGGCTGCCTGCTGGGGACAGACCCCAGGGAAGGTGGTCACGGCCCTTCCTGCTCAGGAGGAAAGGCTTGGTTCTGCGTCCGGGAGTCCGGTTGTTTCTGAGAGGAGCTGCTGTCACAGGGCAGCGGAGGCCGACTGTGCACCCTTCACAGGCTTGTAAGAGCTGCTGGGGGGCGAGCAGGAGAGGGGGCCAGAGGGGCCCACGCTGGGCTTCCCCAGTCTGCTGTCAGCCTCACCTTGTCACAAAAATGAGTAAAATTTAAATTAAAACATGCTTACCAAGGAGGGTGAGCGGTCAAAAGGGGGTAAAAACTGTACACATCTGTCCTCCACCCAGGATATTAGAAAGTCTGGTGCTTCCGTTTCATAGACCACCTGGAAGGGAAAGTGGATGTATCTCATCTATAAATTTTGGGGGTTTATGTGTCGGGAGCATTGCTCAGGTGTCTGACCCTCTTAATATGTAGTCGATGAGCCTTAAAAGCATTCTCTCTGTGTGGCCTTCGGTTATACGGGCTTTTAAAAGTAAAAACCGGAGGGAGAACACAAACCCCAACTCGTTGCGAAACCAAGCTGAGCTGTTGTTGGAAGGAGATAAGCCTCTGTTAACAGCTTCCAGACACTGTGGGACTGAAACAGAACCTTGGTCCAGTCCTCTCACCCACTGAGATGCCTCTTGGCACCATAAGTGACTTGGTGAAAGCTGTGTTTGTTTGCAAAGCCCCAGCTGCACTTCTGCTGACTGTGGCCCTAGAGGCTCAGGTCTAGGGTCCTGGCTCAAGAGGGAGGCTGGCTAATCCCGGCTGTTGTCCTTTCTTGCTCCAGGAGATGGACTGAAGGGACGACTCAACAAAAGTGCGACTGGTTACAACTTGAGATGGTGACAGCAGCGTAGCTGTCTCCACAGAGATGGAGCCTCGGCCACTTAAACATGCTCAGAGAAGACAGGCACGAGATGGCAGCTCTGTATCTCTCACCATTTTAAAGCCAGGGACCATTTAGGAATTTCTTCATGTACGTGTGTGAATGTTTCACATCATCTACATCCATCCACACACTGTGCCTTTACCTAATGTCTGCTGGAAAGGTCCCCCCCTGAAAATCAGATCTAGAAGCGGATCGTGAGTTCCCTGGTGGTCCAGTGGTTAGGACTCCTCTGCGCTTCCACTGCAGGGACCAGGTCTGATCCCTGGTCGGGGAACTAAGATCCCACAAGCTGCAGCCAAAAAAGAAAAAAAGAACAACAAAATGGAAGCAGGTTGACAAATAAAAGGCAGAAGAAAAAGAACAATGTTTTTATGTTTTTTAAAAAAACCCACTTGGGACTTTCCTGGCGGTCCAGTGGTTAAGACTCCGTGCTTCCACTGCAGGGGTGCAGGTTTGATCCCTGGTCAGAAAACCAAGATCCTGCATACCGTGCAGTGCAGCAAAAAAAAAAAAAAAAAAAGCGCACCCTTGGTGGTGGTGGTGTTACCACGGGCAGTGCCGAGTGTGAGGGGACCAGGGATTGGGGAGGGAATGCATGGACCTCTTACAAGTGATAAATTCCCCTCAAAACAGGGACACCTTCATAGTAAGGAAGTGCAGTCTTTTTTTTTTTTTTAGGTTTCATAGAGCGGTTTAATGCTGTGTGTGTTCACATACCAAAGCTAATTCCACCAAGACAGGAAATCTCTCACCGTGTATTTCCTCGAGGTTCATCCCAAGAGCCTGGGCCATTCCAGATGCAGATGGAAGAAGGCAGCACCACCAGATACCGGAGGGGTCCAAGGGGATGGGTTTAATTAATCGTCTTCCTTGAACTTGCCGTTGATGTAGGGCACCCGGTCCAGAATCAGTCAGTGGCACATACCAGCCCCACGGCTCCCACGGCGCCCCGCTGGCCCACTGTGGGTGACCGGTTTCTGGCCAGCAGCATCGTGGCTCCGTCTCGGCTCAGGGTGACCCTGGCCCCGCTGGCTCAGGCGCACTCGGTCTTCCTGTTTAAAAACCAAGCAGCACAAGAGGTTCTGGACTCGAACGTTTAACAGGAAAATCAGACTTCTGTGTTTGACTTTTTCACTGTGAATTCCTTTTACTTGAGTCAGGAACCACAGGCATTTAAAAGACGTGGAGGTAATTTCAAGGCCTATGTCAACCAGTTTCCAAAATCATGTAACTAAACGCACCCTTTTCTCTTTTCAAGAAGTCAAGGTTTTGATAAAAATTTTAAGCTACTGGAGAAGCTACTGCATCTGTCCTGTGGGGCATGTCTGTGAAGAGTCTTACACTTTCATCGTCAGCCGTGCCCCCAGCTCATCTGCACCTATGAAGCTGCTTATGGAGAGAACAGGTCTCTAGGCATATAAGGTGAAAGAGCAGTTAGACAGCATTTGTGGTGGCTCCCTTTTCTAGACACACAGTCGGTATACAAGTAATAACAGGGACTTCCCTGGTGGTCCAGTGGTTAAGAATCTGCCTTCCAGTGCAGGGGATGCAGGTTCGATCCCTGGTCGGGGAACTAAGATCCCACATGTCACGGGGCAACTAAGACCCGATGCAGCCAAAAATAAATAAATTTAAACAAAACAAAACACTATAGTCCAATAAAATTTGAAAAAAAAAGAATACAATAACAAAACGCAATCACTTAGCACCAGAGTAAACCAGAGTACTTACTATTAGAAGCAACACAGCCCGGTCTGTTCCGAGCGCTAAGTGTTTACTAGGATTGGTCTGTGTCCAAGTTCAATGGTGGGTAGGGTCCAGGTCTCACATCACCAGTAACAGAAACGCCCTTGTTACTGTGACCATGATGCTCTGGGGAAGGACAATTCGAACACGAGTAATTAAGTACTGATAAATACGTTGTTACCAAAACCACCTCCCTGTTCCCTGAGGTTTAAACTTACCAGAAAAGAAAAATGACTCCGTGGTTCAGCATCGAACACAGCACCCCAGGGCTGGGTCTCAAGCTGACACCTGCAGAATGCTGCAAGTCCTAAAAGCAAGTAGGTGTGGCTGTGCCTCTGGAAACAATCTTCTAGATTTAAAGGGTTCATGTCACCATGGAAACATGGTGAATCGCACATGAACACAGACACAGGGATCAGCCAGTACAATGTGTCTCAGCAGGGAGATACTTTCTTCCAGGCCCAGGAGCAATTTAAACTCAAGTAGTCAACTCTATAAACTAATGGAAGAGAAAGGAGCTCTAAAGCACCAAATAATCCCAGACTATCTCTTACAATACTTTAAATTTTTCAGGGACCTCCCGGGCGGTCCAGTGGTTAAGAGTCCACGCTCCCACTGCAGGGCCACGGGTTTGATCCTTGGTTGGGGAACTAAGATCCCGCGTGCTGTGTGGTGCAGTAAATAGGTAAATAAATAATTTGTCACAGCATCTTTACCTGCCACTGTTTTGCGTACATTAATACAGTAAGCCACCGTTTTAATGCAGTTTATACATGTTTTGGTGTCAATTTTTCCAGACCAAGTCAGATATACTTTCTTGGTCATAAAGCAAGATGACCGCTCTTCTCCCCAAGCCAGCATCATACAGAGATTCCAGCCTTGAGCACATCCTGGCCACCAGGACTGGGGTACATGCTGGAAATTGGTGCATTTTACATCACAACCCTCGTGGACAGAATTGAGATGTTTTTAATTAAGAGAACGTTTCATCCTGCTTTTTAAGTATTTGAATTAAGTGATGGTTAAGAGAACAAAAGGTGCTCGGCATCACTGAAAGTCCAGAGACCCATCCGGTGTACTCAGACCAGCTCCTGCTGGGCTGCTTCTCGGGGCTGCAGCCCCGGAGCCGCTTTTATTCTCCAGCAAGTTCACCAGCTGTGCGAGTGGGCCTTTGGGTGTTGCTAGCGTGTTTTCAGAACCTGCAGTCAAACCACATAGGTACGTACGTAAGATGACAAGGCTGATGGTCTGGAGGCAGCCCTCCCGAGTCGAGGCAGGGGGTTGCTGTGTGAACATCAGTGTCTTCAAGGCTCATTTCATTACATCCTCCGGTGTCTGCTCCCAGCGCCATTCACAGAGCTGCGCTTTGCTGCCAGTGATGAAGGCAAGCGGAGCAGGAATAACCCACAAGCCAGCTGTGCGGGCGAGCAGAGGGACCTCACACAGGAAGAGGGTGTTACCACGGTGACCGTTTCACCACAGGCCTTAGGAGGGATGATAGCATCAGAATCCATAATACGCAGACCGCAGCGAAGGAACAAGTCAGGTAGAAAGAGGCACTTTCAACCTGAAGAAGGAAATGAATAAGCGTGACAGCAAGGAGAAAACAGCAGGTCTAGGCAAACAGTAAGTTGTCACTTCCTTCGGTGCCGACCAAGAACCCAGCCGGTTAGTACAGTTCTCTCACCAGAAATCGTCGTCCAGACGTAGCAGGGAGGGGCCCACCTCCTGGCTCTCCCTGGGGAAGGAGGCCAACACTTGCTCTAAATAGCTCGCGGGAGGGTGCGGTGTGGCCATGAGGGGCGGCGGGATTGGCGGCCCTGCGGACGCCTGGGGAACAGCCCCCTGGGCTACAGCAGCGCTTGCGGTGTAGACGGGACGGTGGAATAATTGTCTTGTGCGAAGAAAGGGGAGATGCGGATCAACACTTCAGCAACTGACTTCCCGATTAGGTCGCGCTCCCAGCGTCAGCTCCCAAGACGTGCCTGTGTCCGAGTGGGTGCCCCCTGCACCCCGGGGGGCACAGACAGGCACCTGTCCCCCACACCACCCAAGGAAGCCAAGGAGACCCTAGTCCAGCGGGGCGGCTCTGGAACCGCCAGGCGCCAGGTCCATGTTGGGAGAGGCCCCTCGTGCGGTGAGCAGCTGGGACAGACTGATGAAACCTTGGCTCCTGCGTGCAGTCCCACGGAGCTGGCTCAGCACCTGCCCAACCGCAGCCTCCCCGGGGCACGGGCCGCCCCACGCGGTACAGGGTACCTGCCGGTACCTCTGCAGGTTACAAGGATGGGAGACGCCGGGGAAGCCCTAGACCTGAGTCAGAAGCTCTGACTGTCGCCTGCCGCACAGATGCCAGACGCCTTGGGACAGTAGTGACCCCAAGGGGGTGCGAAGGGGAAGCGTGATGAGGGAGGCCCTCCGACAGCCCCTGGCGTGTTGTGACCGCTCAGCCCCTCTGCTGAGACGATAATGACCACCCTTGTTTAGGGAAAGGAAAAGAGACGCTCCCTGAACTCAAGCCCAGCTCACAGCCGACCCTTGCGGGGAGCGGAGAACAGGGGGGCTCCGTCAAGGACAGATCCTGGTCCTCTGGGGAAGAGGACACATTCTCCTGGCATCAGGTGTGTTGCTGAGACTTGACACGAGATACTGCCTGCGTGGAACTGGTCCAGAGGCTAGAAGCTGTTTCTACAAAGTGACCAGACAGCCCCTCTTGATGAAATGACCACGTCAAATTCTTGGTAAGGAAAGTTTGTGTAAACAGACATAAGAAATTAAGAGAAGAGGGGAAAAAAAATCTTACCTACAATACCTTTCATTTCTATAAAACATCTCTTAAAATAATTTAAAAATTCTACGGTTATGACATTTGTCCCCATGCCAAGCCTTCAGGGAAAAGGCAAGGAACAGGCACAGCTTTTATATTAGCAGGAATCAGCAAGAGCCCGAGGAAATGAATTTCTATGGGAAATGAACAGGGGCGGTTCACACCCAGGGAGAGAGAGAACAGGCGAGCGGAGGATCGGCCTCTGGGAACCAGATGGTCAGCAGATGGCTTTTCATCTAGAAGGCTCTCTGGGGGCGGTGCTGATGGCCGTAAGGCACACTGGGACTGACTGGTTTCTGAGGCCCCGGAGTTGTCACCACTTTACTCCAGAGAACATAAACTAGCATTCTTTAATCCTGGTATTTTTCTCAAGAAACCTTCAGTGGCTTTTGCCAAGTGATCAGAAATCATTACATTCAATACAGCAGTTAAGAGTTCTGCAGGACCTACCAACACAGCAGTTCAAACGAGGGTGACGAGTCTGAGTTCCACACCTGCGTCCCACCATCATCCTCCCTCTACCTTAGACTCAGATGTTCCAGTCCCACCAAAAAGGGGGTGGGCAGCTGAGAAGCAGTTTTTAACGTCACAGTAAAACATGGGAGCCGCTACCACCACAGTCCTTACTAGGCGCTCCCTCCTCCTGTCCACAACCAGAGGGGACGCTGAGGTCCTCCTATCACTCGGGAACCCCGTGCTTGAAGGCCACGCTGTCTGGGTCACTGCTGAGTAAAGCGTGGCCCC